TCTATATAAACAGAAGAAGATTTTGTCTCACATAAGAACAGAATATGAGGTCGATGAAGTTGCACCAGCTTGTGCAGGCGACGGAACACGCGTGGGGACCCCAAGCCACGTGCATTCCAAAATATGGTTTTCATGGTGCCCGGTCGGGCTGAACCTCAGCTGCTGTCGATGGAAAAAATACCGAGAAACATCACTCAATGATGCAGAAGTCAGAGAAGTTGACAGAGCGCCTAGCTGTTGCCGTTTCACGGTAGGGTCTGGGAGGGGAGAAGCTTATGAGATATTGTGACGTTTGCAAGCTAAATCTCCCAAAATTTAACGAGGCGGGGGACAAAAGAGACGCTGACTCATCAAACGTGACAGCCACAGATTCGTCCTCAGTAAGCTTGAAAGAAGACCATCCTTAATCAAAATATTTATATTTTAAATTTATATCTAATTAATTATGCTTATAGTAAAAGGTTTAAATTAATCTAATCATTTAAATTTAATCCGTTATTTAAAAATTAAGATTTTTTTTTTTAAATTGTCATTGAGAATATATATATATATATATATATATATATATATATATATATATATATATAATCATTATTGCAAACTCATACCTCCAACCTAAATCTTAGTTTATCTAATTTTATTTCTTATTTTTCATTTTTAATAATAAGCACTAAAGCCTTTAGATAATTTATAAAATTATTATTTTTTAAGTCGGGTAATTTAAACATTAAATATTTTAATTTCAAGTTATTATATTTATTTAAACTAGAAAATAAAATAAACGTTTTGATCTCTTATAATCAAATTTTTGGTTTAATCCCCTATATGGTACAGTGACAAATACTTTGTGTTAATGCAGAAATTTGGCGGAATTTGGCTTCTTGGGATTCCTCCAAATTCGCACAAATCTTCTCAAATAAAAGGGATCGACTAAACCAGCAAAACATAATAGCACTAAAGACCGGTGTGGCTCTTACCACACAGCCTCCGATGCTTAAGTTAGTATCATAGTAGTCGAGTGTAGAGTGTAGGGTATTTAGGCGTACCTTTAGGATTTGACTTACTTCCCTATTTATATAAGTTGAATCTTGATCCTTCTAGGAATTACGGAAGTCGAATCCTGATACATCTAGGAAATCTAGTAATCTGGACCAGCGTATCTTGTTATTGGCCTATCGTCAGATCAAGAGTCGGGACACGATGGGTTTAAGCCGCCATGCATCGCGGTCGAGTCGGGTCTCTAGAGTTCTCCGTGGTAGGGGCCGAGAACTGCCTTCTTGGAGCCGAGCCATGGTCGGCCCGGGGGGCTGGCTTGGGTCGCCTAGCACCCGCCCATTTCTAGTTTGTGTCTTCTCTTGGTTCTTCTCCGGTCGTTGTCTCGCTTCGCTGGATGAATTCTTTCTCCCTATAACAATAGCCCCCAATCTCAATGTAGAAGTCAATAAATATGAGCAAAATGCTAAGGTTTCTATATTGAGATTAATTGTCGCTTGGTTGTTTCATGGATGACTATTTTTGTGGAATAGTCTCCATACCCTTTTGTCGCTGTTGGTTGTCGTTTCGCAGGCTAGCCTTCTTAGCCCCTATACTCTTGTCGTAGTTGGCTGTAGTGAAGTCTCTTTGGCTTTGTCATACAGTTAGTCTTAACTGTTTAAGTTTTCTATTGGCCTTGGGATCCAACTTTTAGCTGGGCTAGCTGTACCACCATTGAGTTTCCCGTTTTGAATACAGTAGCTCTTCTGTGCATTTGTCTCATAAGATCACTTTCTCTAGCCAAACATCTCTGAAGGTTCAACATCAACTCCAACAACACTATCACGATCCATGTCCAGGATGAACTTACTATGATACCAATTTGTTAGGATCCCAAATACAAGAACCTAACAAGATAACTATATTGCAATATCAAAGAAGAAATTACAATATCGATAGCCTTACGAGAGGGCTACTCTCTCCCAATAACTCTTTCAAGTTCGTCACCCAAAATACTATTCCCAAAGATACCCCCTTCTCCCCTACTACCCTTATTTATAACCAACTTACCCCAAACTAATTATCATATTGCCCCTTCCCTAACATACTAACAATACTCCCTATATACCCCTATTAGGACTCTCAGATAAGCCACACTGAGAGGCTGCTAAATGGGTACTTCCATATGTAAAAGGTACAAAATCTAAAGGGCTATTATATACTAAAGCCACTGAGGAAACAAATTGGATAGTTGTGTAAATGCACTCCAATTATGCTGCTGATTTGGACAAGAAAAGGTCTTTCACTGGATACGTATTCACTCTATTTGGTATTGTAATTAGTTGGAGATCAACAGTTCAGTCTGTGGTACCCTTATCTTCAACTGAAGCTGAATACATGACATTATCTGAATCTGTAAAGGAGTCACTATGGCTAAAAGGGATTATTTCTAAAATGTACATGGGCTTATGTGATGTCAAGATTTATTGTGACTCACAAAGTGTTGTTGCCCTCTCAAAGAACTATACGTTTCATGATAGAACTAAGCACATTGACGTGCGTTTTCATTTCATTCGTGATGCTGTAAGTGAGAGGAAACTACAATTGCTTAAGGTAAACACCTTGAATAATCGTGTTGACTAAATGACCAAATCTCTTGCTGCTGGTAGATTGGAGTACCTCTGTGAGCTGCTTAAGCTCGGAATTGGTTGATGCCTTGTTGACTAAGGTGAAAAGCAAAGTCAGAATATATTTTCTTTCTTGTTACGATAGAATATGTTCACCAAGAGGGTGATTTGTTAAAACTTTTCTTTCAGTGCTTCACATATTTTGGGTTTTTATTAGTCACTGGGAGTTGGGGTTATAAAAGCAAGAGTATCTTTACCCAAAAGAAGTACTTTTGTATAAGCTTGTATCCAAGAAACTCAAATAAAAAAAATCCTTCTGATTCTAAGAGTGGACGTAGGCTAATTCTTGTGTCTAATTTCTCTTTCATCTCCTTCAATCTTGTGGTTTTGATCCATTTTTTTTTTCACTCTGATATGAATTTTGTAACAATAGGAATAAATGAAGAACAAACGAGATAAAATAAAACAAGGAACATGCCCCGAAAATAATATAAGACATAGTAAATCAACCTACTTTATTCGCATTTGAAAACAACATATGAACTTACGAACTTACGGTCTTGCAAACAAACTCTTCTAAGAAATGAAAACACTTGATGGATATTTGGCTCTTGCATTTGCAAGAGCCAATAGAATGGTTGTACTTGCAGCAAATGGATGAAAATGTGCCATTGACAAGGTTATGCCACTAAAACAGGCTATTTTTGCTCTTTATTTATAGTGTGAACCTTTTCACCCTTCTAACTGATAATTATTATGAAGATGCCTATCATTTACTTCAAACCTAATTTCTACTGTACAGAACATTTGTTCTTATTTAGTCATTGTACCCGGTTGGGATTGTACATTTTCTTGAAACAGATTTTGAGAGCAGCATTATTTGAGGTTTAATTTCTAACATACATCTCCTTTGTTCTAGCTTGCAGGAATTTTGTTGGATACGAAAATCTCGATGCATCTTCTCAATCGTTTATGACTAGATATGCAAATCCAGTTGAATTGTTATTGGGTTGGATCAACCCCGAATTATATGAATCGACTTTATGATCAGTGTATGTTTCTATAATTTATTTTTACCCTCTTCTCATGCAGTTGTCAGCACATTTCTTAATGGACTTCCTGTTTGTTGGAACATTTTTTTTTCTATTTGGATTAATTTTGATGCTTAGTTTTATCTTTTGATGTCCATTAATGTTTATGCTCAGCAGTATATGTAACAGATCGACTTTTCTACAAGAGAGTCTTTTGCTTTGTACGGAGGAATATATCATTCAACAATTGGCATTATATGAGGAGAATACAATTGGTTGCAACTACAAATTCTCCACGGATGGTCTACCGAAGGGTGTAATCCTTAGAAGGTTTATGAGTTAGCAGGTGTAATTTTAGGATATTTGAACAAAGGTCATGCTAAAATTCTGACATTTTTGTTTGAGTTATGTTTGATCAATTAAAATTGAATCTTTATTGTCTCAACCCTCGAAAGATGCAAATATTTTATCTATATTAAATATATGTTATTCAAATAAAAGATAAACCCCATTAAATCAATTGCTATTAATTTAAAAAAATTTGGACAACAAAATTTATAATTTAAATTTCGAAATCGTAAATAATTAAAATAATGAATATTTGTGAAATATTATGTATAGGTTGAGAGAGGTTCGAACGTAGGATCTCCTGTTCTAATACCATCTCAAACATGATCATTAGATTACCCATTATCCAAAAGCTTGAGCTAATAAATTAGGATAAACTTAATAATTTATATGATATATCTAAGACTAAATTATTAAAAAAAAAAGGTTATACTAAACATTTCAGACTCTATTTTTTCTTTAATTTTAAATAGATAGATACTTTGATGACTTCAGAGTAAGGGTATAAGTAATTAGAATATTCAAGCTAGATGAATTACATATTATTTTTACTAAAACAAAAAATTAGAAAGAGAAAAATGAACATTGAATACTAAATTTTCCTATATTTTATTTTTATTCGGATTTTAAAAACAGTTATATTTGTTTAAGTACAATTTTGATCGTCCCGTGAAGTTCCGACAAAACTTTTATTCAAATTTAAAAAACTTTTATGCAGGAGAGAACAAGGCTTCCGACGCTCAAATTAATATAAGTCCGATCTATATCTCTGAAGAAGGCAAATAGAATGTGCATCTATCTCTAGGCTAAGATTTTTGGATCCCACATTCTTGATGGTTGCAACTATTCCGAATTCTCAACTTATTGTCGAATGAGATGTTAGCTGTGGGCTTACATAAGTTGGCTCATATTAATTTTCTCCATCGAAACAGTTAGAGAAATAAATTTTATATATTTTATATTTCTTGCATGAATAAATTATTAAATATGATTTGGTTTGTCTCTAATTGCATCTGAATGTTATTTGTAAAAATTACTTGAATGGTTGTAGATATCATAGATAAATAAGAAAGTAACATAAGATTGAAATAGAAAATACATTTCCATATAAAGTAAATTATAGGAATGAAATAGAAAATACATTTCATAAAAAGTAAACTGGAAGGCAAAATTAATTGCTTGATTGCATAAAAATCATACTTGAATGCAAATGTATTTACTTAATTATATAGCCAAAATAAGATAAGTTGGATTAGTATATATATTATATGATAAAATCCCTTTTTAATATCAAAAAGTGAAATATTGAAAGGATGTCAGGTTCTTCGTGGCCTCGTTATCCCCCTGTGTTAGTGGTGGTTGTGAAGACTCTACTTGTTGCACTTCGGGTCTAGGTGAGTACTATTTCTATCTCTATAACTAAAGACTTTTGGTTTTATTATAATCGCTAAAAGTTAGTTCATGCAGGACATAAGTTTAGATGGCCAGAATTACTCGAAAAGAAAGCAGGAGAGGCTAAAACTGTGATCTAAAGAGAAGCTCCATTTGTGACAGTTGTTTTGCTTAAGCCTGGCATGATTGGACTCGCCAATTTTTGTTGCAATCGTGTTAACATTGTCCTTGATACGAGTGGCAATGTCGCCAGTGTCCCATCCATTGGTTAGAAAATGAATGGAAGACAAATTGTGTCATCTTAGGACTACGTCGCTTGTTTTGTTGCTATGAGTTGTACAACAAAACTATATCTTAAAGTGAAATAAATGAATTTACTTGTTTACTACCAATGGTCTCCTTCTTGTTATATATATTCAATAAGATACTTTACAGACCATTCTCAACCATACACAGGTATGCGAAACAAACTTTTGTTGTGGTCATAGTGCTTTTTCTTTTTCTTTTTTTTTTCTTTTTTTACACAAGTAAAACAAACTTTAAAGTAGAATTGAAAGAGGTGTTAAATAGAATTGATAGTATTAGATGACAAAAAAAAAAAAGATGTTTCGATAATATTCAAAACATTATGCATTATCATTCGTGATTCATTTTTCCGAAGTTATACTGTCACCGTATATATATATATATATATATTTAAAATACTTGTATAATTTATTTCATCGTAAATGATTATATTATTTAATTTGATGCTCAACTTTTTTAATTGAGATACCAGAGTGTTAAAATATTAATAAAAAAGAAGTTTGTAATTTGAAATTTACTCTTTTTAATCTTAAAGTGATAAATATTTTGAGGACTTCATCATGAACGTATAAGCAATGTTCTAAATGTCGATCGACACTGTTGACCGATATGTCGACGTGTCGTTTTCTCTCCTTATCGAAGATATATTACGTCGAAATGTCGCGATAACGTCGACATATCGACGATATTTTAAAAGATGTCTTTAAAAAAAGAAATTTAAATTGTCCAGTCTACATTAGAGGCCTAGTATTGCCCCACTCGCATTAGAGGTCCACCCTATATGTGATGGAAAAAAGAAAGAGGGGGAGGGGGGTTTATAACACGCTCCTTTCTCCCCCTCCGTCCCTTTCCTATGTGGGATTGGGATGGAAAGGAATCACGCTGCCTTGCCTTTTTTTTTTCTTTTTTTTTCAATCTTTCTCTATTTTTGTTGTTGTTTGTAATTCTAATTCTTTTATATTTCTAAATTTCTAATATTGATAATACTATTATTCATTTAGTTCAATTTTCAATATTAAGGTATTTTTATTCTAATTGAATTTCTTTTTTCAATTTTTCATATCTTGCTTCTTATAAATTATTAATTATCAATAAAACATAATTAAGCAACGTTGAACTTCAATTTACTTATTCAAATTATTTTCATCAATCTTCTATTCCGACATTTCTATCGACATCGACATTTTCATAAGTAAGTTACTCATATTTTAACATAGGATGGTTAGAAGTGATCAATTATAACTTCATTAAACTTCAATTAAAGTTTTATTTACTAATTAAAATAATTTTTATTATTTTTCACAGTTTCCGTGATTTTTCCCCAAATATCCGTCAACATCGACATGTCCATCGACATCGACATTTTGAACCTTGAGTATAAGTAATTCATTACAATACTCAACTTTAACAATGTATAGCCAAAGCGAGCGTAGATTAGCGGTACTTGACATATATCTCCAACCAAAAGGTTATGAGTTCGATCTCCACTCCCACATTAAAAAAAAATAATAATAAATAAAGTAAGGTATAAGTGCTTGGCTTATGTTTGACTTTAACATATTGTTAAGCATTAAAAATATGTTGTTAATGCTTTATAATATACTTCAATCAAACCTTCAACCACCTTTCAAAAGAAAAATACTAAAATAACCAAACATTCAACTACGTTTTAAGAACTATAATTTTCAGCATCACAAAAGTATGATAAATAAATTTATATATATATATATATTTCTTTTCCACTGCTTAAACTAATTGTTGAATATGATTTTGTTAGTCTCTAAAGGCTCGTTTGGTAACGTTCCGTTTCTTGTTTATGTTTCTTAATTTTTAATAAATAAAAAGTTAATTACATGACTCCAACCTACATGAATTCAAGTATGGTAAACCAATATTTTTATTTGTGTTT